ATTTATAATTCTAAACTCAACCAACTTTGCCATAACATGATTTTTTAAGGGCAACTAAACTGTATATTTAAAAAAACCTCAAAGAACAGCCCTTATCATTAAAACAGTTATCAACTCTTTGCTTAAATTTACTGCTTTTTATCACAACCCATTCCAAAGACCAATCACCCTGTTAGAAAAATACAACTGTCTTAGTTGAATATGACTTCTACCCTGCCAAACTTTTCTATTTGTATCCCCATCTTACCATTCGTTTTGTATTTGTGTCCCCCTGTCTTACCAATAAATTTGAAAAAAGATGCAGCAACAGTATCAATAACCCCAATAATCATAAATATTTCCTCTAACTTGTAACTGTTTTTCAAGAGAAAACAATTTCAGAGACCTTAACCTGTTCTTGTACAACAATCTTTCCATCCTAGTAGCCTTCCTCTGAATCCTTTCAAACAATTCAATGTCCTAAGGTAAGGAGCCCAAGACTGAACACAATGCTCCAAATCTGGTCTAACCAATAACCTATACACTGAAATTATAACCTCTTTAGACTTATAATCAATATTTATGTAGTTACAATCTGAAGTCCTATTTGCCCTACTACTAGCAACAGCACAATATTTAGATGACTTAAGTCTCTTGCTACAAGCTTAATTGAAATGACTGAGATAGTGACCTCAGATTGACCTGTATAGTTTTTATACTATTACTTCTCATATGCTTTGTGTATCTTCATGAAATTTCACAAGCTTTCAGTAATTACTAAGTCATTTGTAGACAAAAAATCAGAATTTTTAATGAAGTATTTTCACTAAAAATTTTTCCATGAATATATGAAGTCAAAGTATTCACTGTTCTGAGTGCAAAGTGATTTTAACATTAAGATTAAAAACATTTTCTTCTTCTGAAAAATCTCAAATTTCATTTGCATAATCTCTAAAATCTCCTAAATAAGTTTCAAACTTTTTTTAGTAAAATGATTATCTTGTCTGTTATTTTCTCTACCCTAACTCTATACAAGTTGGTCATATTGTAACATGAAACTACATTTGTTTATCCTCAATAGCTTTAAACTCTTAACAGTATACATCTGTTTATACTTAAATTTTTTTGTGTTATTGCTCTTTGAACCATGACTAATTGATATTCCTGTCATAAAATTTGTAAATCACTAGGCAAACATGCAGCTCATGTTACTCTATCAAATTAAATAATGCATGAGCTACTTGCATACCTTGTGAAAAGTTTTTATTGTTATTATTTTTTACCTAATCTAACTTTATCTAACCTAAAATATTTCTGATTTTTACATTTTAGTTACTTTTTATAACAATAAATAAAGAACAGACATGAAAAAAATAAGAAATTAAATACTTTCCTGGGTCTTCTTTTTTTGCTGTTGACAACACTTAACCCTACTTTTTCTACTAATGGTACTACTTCACTATTAAACTTTCTATTTAATTAAATAATGCACCAAAGAACACAGAATAATAACTCAAAAAAAGCAGACAGTGTCTCATAACTATCCCAACTTTTCTGGCTTTCTAAATATGCAGCAACAGCTGTTAAAAATTCAGTTAAGCTCATTGATGAGTTTCTCATACGAATAAAGTTTGAACTAGAAGTGAAATAGACAATTTTCTGTACAGAATATAATACATCATTTGACAGAATAAAACCTTGGGTTTCTATTGGTTATAAATAATATAATATTAAAAGTCAGAGAGAACTACTGGCAATTTCTGAAAGAGAGGATGTGACAGGTGGGTGTGGCAAGAGGTGTTCGGCTGTCTATTTGATCACTCTGTAACTAAATAATATTGAAGGCTATAAAATTATGTTTTGACTTATGATGACAACTTTATAATAATTGATTTACGTAAATTTTTATACTTCTTAGAGAGGTGATAAACAAATTAGAGAAGAGGGGATGCATAGAGAGAAAATGTCAAAATTCTCATACTAGGGAAAATTTTGGATTTTTTTTATTTATTTATTGCCACATATAAATATGAACTCAAATCTTATTTATACTATTAAAATATGGATTATTAGCTATGTTTTATGCCAAAATTATTCACATACCATGATAAGAAAGTAGTTTAATTAAATTTTGAATGTAACTCACTAAAACCTCATGACATGCACAGAAAAAGATGCCTGTGGCAAAAGAGTTAAGAGGTTTATCAATCAGAAGTTCTTCTATAACACTGTAAAGGTTGTTCTCATCAAAAATGTATTTATATAATAACTCACATGCATTACCCCACATTTATTATAATTAAAAGGCATTTGCCACTTATTTGTATAATTCACCAAATGACTGAAATCTTTTATAAAGCAGCAGCATCCTTCCCACAGCCAACAACACCCAAGTTCTTAATATCATAAGTAATTTACTGACCATTCCTTCACCTACATAATTGATGTCAAACAAAAACAGCAAGCCCCCAACACCGAGCTCCGAGGTATCCCACTTGTGATATCAAGCTCAAAATTAATGCAATCATATTATTCAGTGTTGTTTCCATCTATCAACTATTCAAGATGAGGAATACTACTTAAATCATTATTAGTTAAAACTGAAGAAAAAGCATAATTTAATAACCCAGCCATCTCATAATCATCAGATACTAGCCTCATGGTCCTACCACCATCTTAACATTTTGTTTACTCTAAATATACTTAAAGAAATCCTTATTGTTAATTCTTACATTTTCAGCCAATCTTTTCTCAATATTTTTTTGATGTCCTAATTTTTTCTTTCACCAACTTTCTTGATCTTTTATAATCTTCTAAGTCTTCCCTTATACCAATCAATTTAAAGTTCTTAAATTTATGATGCTTTTATCTGGCCAAGGAGAATTATAATTCTTTAAACTTTATACTTTTTTCTTTAAAAAGCTCAGAATTCGTATGATCATCTTGTTTCCACCTAACAGCAGTTCATCCTTTTAAGTAATATTTGTATTAAGTAATATCTTAGTAATATTTGTATTATGGGACAATTTAAACATATTACACTATTTAGATTTTATCATGTTGCAATGTTAACCATGACATATGTAATGATTTAAACATATTACACTATTTAGACTTTATCATGTTGCAATGTTAACCATGACATATGTAATGATTTAAACATATTACACTATTTAGACTTTATCATGTTGCAATGTTAACCATGACATATGTAATGATTTAAACATATTACACTATTTCGATTCTATCATGTTGCAATGTTAACCATGACATACATTAGGGAATTAAACATATTACGATATTTAGATTTTATCATGTTGCAATGTTAACCATGGCATATGTTATGGATTTAAACATATTACAATATTTAGATTTTATCATGTTGCAATGTTAACCATGACATACATTAGGGAATTAAACATATTACAATATTTAGATTTTATCAAATTGTAATACAACACTTGAAATGTGTTGGGAAATTAAACAGATAAAGTATCAGAGTGGCAAAGAAGGAATTTATTCATTTTTTCAGTTAATCTTTTTTATTTACATCTAAGTATACAAGAACAGTTAATCTTTCTTATTTACTCTAAGTATACAAGAAAAATCTCAAAGAAGAAACAAACAAAACATAAAAAATGTTCATCTGTTAAGACTGTAGAACTTTTCAATCATGTACATGAAACTTATGTCAATAAATATAATTACAACACTCACTACTTGAAGCTATGAACTACAACAGCATAGAGAACAGACGTCGTGGTAGCACTTTGACTACTAGGTCCAGAATCTAAAAGAAACAGAATTTTCAACAGATTTATTTCACTGCGTAAAAACACTAATATGAAAATTTTTCTAACTACTTAATTATAAAATCTCTCCCTAGAAAGGAAGAAGGATTTAATTAAAAATTTACTCCAATATAAAGACAGTCAACTTCATTAACAAAAGATGATCAACCATATCACTTCCTCGTGAAAGCTGATGGGAAATACAAACAACCAATAGCTGTTGAAGTTATTTTCATAGACAATAAAAGAGGAACATATACCATCTTTCTATCTTTATATACTTAATTTAGTTTCACTTAGTACCATAAAGTTTTTACATGTAACAAACTGGAGATCTCAGGAAG